GCACAGTCTACCCATTCACCCACGGGTCGCAAACTCCCCACGGCTGAAGCCCGAATTAGTTCATTTTCGTCAATAAACATGTTTTGCACAGATACTGCATACCAAGCACACACAAAAATTCGTCTCTGGTAGACTCAACAAACTAGTGAGGAATGCGGGAGGCAGAGAAGAGACAAGTAGAAGCAGTGGAAGGAGATGAGGCCGGTGAGTGGAGGAGGAATACAGTGTGGAGTAACTGAGGCACAGAGAGATTAAGTGACTTATTCAAGACCACAATAAGTGGCAGAACTGGCATTTGAACTCAAGTGGCCTGGAGCCAGAGCCTGGATCTAAACCCTGCTAAAAAAAAAAAAAAAAAAAAAAAAAAAAAAAAAAAAAAAAACACCACACACAGACAAATAGCATTTATATAGCACCAACTGTGTACCTACCGGTCACTCCGAATAATTTATCTCCCTTAAAGTTCACAATTTTTGCCACAGCATGCGTGAAACTAGAGGGTATTATGCTAAGTGAAAGAAGCCAGAGAAACTGAAATACCTTATGATTTCATTTATAGGTGGAATCTAAAACACCACCCGAAAAAACCCCACACACAAAATAAAATAGAAATACACTTAATGGCCAGATTATGATGATCTCTGAAGGCCTAATAATCTGGCCACTCAGTGTCTATCCTATGTAATAAAAGGCTAATATGCAAATTGTCCCCTCAACCAGGAGTTCGACCAGCAAGCAGGCCGGCCAACCACCCATGTCCCCTCCCCCTGGCCAGGCTGGCTGGACCCCACCTATGCACGAATTCATGCACTGGACCTCTGATATATATACATTTATACACACACATATACACTGAGATCATAATAATCTGGCCACTCAGTGTATACTCATAGATAGAGAAAACTGGTGGTTGCCAGAGGGGGCATGGGGTGGGTGAAATAGATGAAGAGGATTAAGAAGTACAGACTTCCAGTTATAAAATACATAAATAATGGGAATGCACAGGGGAATATAGTCAGTAGTATTGTAATAACTTTGTATGGTGACAGATGCTAACTAGAATTTTCATGGTTATTTCATAATGTATAAAGTTATTGAGCCACTATAGTATACATCTGAAACTAATATATGTCAACTATAATTCAATTTTTTAAAGATAATAGTTGTTTTATTGATTTCAGAGAAGAAAGGAGAAGAGAGAGAGAAACATCAATGATGAGAGAAAATCATTGATCGGCTGCCTCCAGCACGTCCCCCGCTGGGGATCGAGCCTGCAACCCAGGCATGTGCCCTTGGTCGGAATCGAACCCGGGACCCTTCAGTCCACAGGCCGATGCTCTATCCACTGAGCTAAACCAGCTAGCGCTATAATTCATCTTTCAAAAGCTCATAATAAGCCTCTGAGATGGGTACCAGTGTTATTCCCATTTTACAGATGAGGAATAGAGGAACTGAAGGACTTTCACCGGGTCACAGGGCATGGCTGGGATTGGGTTTAGGCCAGCTGGCTCCAGGATCTCAATCTGGGCTTAGTAAGCGGGCAGGTGATGGTTAATTAATGAGCCCTGGGATGGGGGGAGTTGAATGGTGGTGAAAGATGCCATGGAGTGAGTCAGGAGAAAACTGATACTCTTCCATCCTGCCCTGCCCTTTCCCCATCAACCCCTCCCTGCCCATGCCTCTGGTAGGTGGTGGGGTGAGACAACCGCTGCCTGCCAAATTCCAGATGTTATTTCCATCTTCTTAGGGTCCCGGGAAGGCTGATTAACAGCCTTCGTTGTTCAGGAAGGACAGACCAATAATAATGATGGTCATGATAGCAGCCCCTTGTTGAGCATTTACTGTAGACTGCCTCAAAGTCTTTGTGGAAAGTCTTTTATTCAGTCTCCATTACCCTCTTGTTCATTAAGCCGGATTAACTCAGGGAGATTAGCGCAATCAACAGCAACACCATCACCACCACAAAAGCTCCCACCAACACTTAATGAGTCCTTAATGGGTATCAAGCCCTGTTCTAGAATCTTTGTGTAAGTACTTTATCCCTCAGTCAGTCCAGATTGCCTCCTTGTTAATGTTGGCTAACCAAGAGATGATAAGCCAATAATAACAACAGTACCTGACACTACTGAAGGATGCAGACTTCCTGTGTGCCAGCTATCGTACTAAGCATTTTTCCCGACATAACTCATAACATCCCTGTGAGTTAGAGACTGTTCATATTCTCATTATGCAGATGAGGAAACTGAGACACTCAAAGCATTGAGTGAGCTGCCCAGGAATGAGAGTGAAGAAATGTCAGTTGGGGAAACAAGAGAGAGAGGGAGGGAGGGATGTAAACCAGGAATCTGGAGAAGCTGATTGTGAAAGTAGGGAGAGTGAATGAGACAGGGAGCTGAGTAAGCCAGCGGGGGAGCCAAAGGGAGAAGTGAGGGGAGGGAAAGTCTTGTTGCTGCCCCTTGCTGACTCCGGTTCTGACGCCAGCTCTGTAACTCTGAAACCTGCGTCAGCACAGAGTTCTGGTGACTGTCTACATGTGAGGGGTCGTGTGGAACCAGATTGTTGTGCAGGTTTTGAAACTGGTGGGATTTCATGAAGGGCTGGGTGGGGGTGGGGACCGCGGGGCTCAACTGGGTGTGCAGTTGAGGGGCTGGGTGGGGGTGGGGACCGCGGGGCTCAACTGGGTGTGCAGAACGGACACCTGGCAATCGCCACCGCACACCAAGGTCTTGGGCCTGAGTGGGCTCCTTTTACAGATCAGGAAACTGAGGCCCAAAGAGGGTTAAGTGACCTGCCAGGGGTCCCACATGGTCTTAAGAAGAGGAAATGTGCCCTAGCTGGTTTGGCTCAGTGGATAAAGTGTTGGCCTGCAGACTAAAGGATCCTGGGTTCGATTCCAGTTAAGGGCGCATGCCCAGGTTGTGGGTTGGATCCCCAGTGGGGGGTGTGCAGGAGGCAGCTGATCAATGATTCTCTCTCCTCAGTGATGTTTCTCTCTCTCTCTCTCTCTCTCTCTCTCTCTCTCTCTCTCTCTCTCTCCCTGTCCTTTCCTCTCTGAAATCAATAAAAAATATATTTTTAAAAAAGAAGAGTAAATGCTAAGATTCAAAGCTAGGGCTCTCCAGAGGATCCCAGAGTGCAGCATTCCTCTTGTACACACATGTGCAGGCACACTTACACGTGTCCACAGGGTTGTGTTCAGTCCTTGGGCCCAGAGAAAATAGGAGGGTTTATAAAAAGAGGAGCCTAGAAAACCTGGTGTGTGTGTGTATGTGTGTGTGTGTGTGTGTGTGTGTGTGTGTGTGTACAGCTCTCTGCTGTGTCTCTGCCCAGGAGAGTTGCCTATGAGTCTTTAGGTGGCATGTATGTGGTATATGTATGGACCTGAGGGTTTTGTGTAGTCCTGTGTGTTTTGTGCTGCTTCTGGGAGTTGTGTGTCTGCCTATGGAAGGCGGCTCTGGATTGCACATGTCAGGGTGAACGTCTCTCCTCCCCTGTGTGAGCTGTGAGTGTGCCTGCTGTTAGGCCACTAACCGCCTCTGCGGTGATTCCCTGGGACACTGCCTAGAGGATCCTCTCCGTGCCCCATAATGACGCCAAGCATTTGGGAAATGAGGAAGGTGGGAGTGCGGGGGGGGGGGGGGGGGGAGACGGGGGGAGGGTAACGCCTGAAGGTCAATCGGTCACCCAGAGCTTGCGGGCTTCCTGTGCCTGTCGGGAACTGAGAACCACTGCCGCCCCAGCCGCCCCTCCCAGAATGCCTTCTCTCTACCCTGTGGGGCAGCTGTCTGCACAGCAGATGGAGGGCGTGGCCCTGCGTGCATCCTACTATAATGGGGCTGGGGTCGCCCAACCTGGTCCCTGGCTCCTGCCCAGGATCTGGGAGGCTTGATGTATGCCTGCACCTGAATGTGTGAGCGTGTGTGTGTGTGTGTGTGTGTGTGTGTGTGTGTGTGCGCGCGCGCATATGCCCAGGAGTGTTGTCTGTATGCTTAGGAGGGTTATGGTGTCTCTGGTTGTGTGTATGCCTCTCTGTGTTTACATATGACAGGTATGTTGTGTCCCTGGATATACTTCTTGTGGGCCCAGGAGTGTGGTGTGGGTTTTAGGGGTTCTGTGAATACCTAGAAGTGTGTGTACCTTTCTCTGTGTAGTGTGGGTCCTTCTGTTTGTTGTCAGTATGCCTAGGAGTGTTGTGTGTGTCTGTGAGTGTTGACTACATGCCCAACTCTGTTGTGTGTGCTGCTCAGAGCTCTGTGTATCTCTGGATTCTATGGTTGTGCCCTGAGGGTTGTCTTTGTATTACATGGGTAATCTCTCACGATGTGTATGCCCCTCTATATTGTGGGTGATGTGAGGGGGGCTGTGTGTGTGCCTGCCCCACACATGAGCACCAGGCTGGCTGAATGACTGTGGGCATTTCTGCAGTTGGAGGGCAAATGTGCCCGAGAGCTTGTGTTGGTTGCAAGTCTCTCCATCTTGTGGATCTCAACATGCATGGGCACCTCTGGGTTTGGTTGTATAGCTCTGAGCTTGGAGGGTTTGTGTGTGTGTGTGTGTGTGTGTAGGTTGTGTGTGTGTGTGTGTGTGTGTGTGTGTGGACAAGGCTTACATACAAGGCCTGGCTGAGGGGTCCAGTTGCTACATGCTCACCACCACACCCCCGTGCACACAGTCACTTCTCCATCATCCAGTTACTGTATAAACTTTCCCTCTTCCAGGAAAGCCCCCCTCCCCCTCTTATCCCATGCATCTGCCTGGGAAAGCAGAGGCGGGAAGTCTGGGTGGGTGGAGGGAGGGACAGGCAGAAAGGGCTCTGGGTTGGATTCTGAGCTCAGGGGTGCGGTGTGATCCCCAGCACTGTCTGCTTATCTCTGACCTGCCTCTTCTGGGAAATGGCCCCAAATATGTGGCTCCTGCCGGATGGCTCCCCTCAATACCACCCCCACCCCTGGCAATCAGCCCTACTTCCCTGACCATGCTCTGCCTTTCCATCCCACCAGCTCAGCAGCACAACATACCCTGTGGTTGTGAAGATGGGGCATGCGCACTCCGGGATGGGCAAGGTGAGTCCCCAGGTTAGGTGTGTCCCTCTGTGTTCCTAAGTGTATGTAGATGTACATTGGGTATTCAGTGCACGCCACTAATTTTGTGTAATTGTGTGTCCTGGGATGTTTACCTATTTGTATCTTTCCCCTCACATTTGTAGATTTTGTTGATCCCCTTTTCTGTCATGCACTCAGCCAGTTTATGTGTCCTGTTATTTTGTTAGTATATCTGTGTATATGCATGTCTCTGTGTTAAACACACACTGTGTAATAGTTTATGTTCAAGGGTCTTGGGGTCCTGTGTGCTTTCCATCCCTCTGATTTTGTCTCTGTGTATGTAGAAAGCAGACTTGTGATTTTTATGTTGGAGTGTGTCCGTGCGTCTGTGCATTTATTGTATATACCATTGATTTTGTGTCTGTATAGATATACTGTATATATACACAATTTTGCTACAGCTTTAATGAGATATAATTCACATACTATACAACGTACCCATATAAGGTGACAATTCAATCATTTTTAGTATGTTCAGAGAGTGATATACACCCAACTACATGTCTGTGCATACATGTAAAAGCCAGGAGGCCCAGAATTATGCATGCATCAAGTGCCTTGGTATGTCCACCGAATTTTTTGTGTACTCAGCTCACCTGTGCCACTTGTGTGCACACCCCCCGCCCTGAGGCACCCCCACTGCTGCCCCGTCCTGCCAAGGCCCTGACCCCCAGCCCACCCACAGGTCAAAGTGGAAAACCAGCATGACTTCCAGGACATCGCAAGCGTCGTAGCGCTGACCAAGACGTATGCCACTGCTGAGCCCTTCATCGACGCCAAGTATGATGTTCGCGTCCAGAAGATTGGGCAGAACTACAAGGCCTACATGTGAGTGGAGAAATAGAAGCCCTGGTCTCCTGCTCTGCCCCAGGCAGCTCAGGTCCCCCTGAGACTCTCTCCTCTCTCCTGTCTCCCAGGAGGACATCAGTGTCGGGAAACTGGAAGACCAACACGGGCTCTGCCATGCTCGAGCAGATCGCCATGTCTGACAGGTGGGTGACCTGAACTCAGCGGGGAGGAGAGGGAGGGAAGGGAGGACTGTGGCTGCTCCAGCCAGGCACTGACAGGCTCTCTAACCCGACGTGTTGCCAGGTACAAGCTGTGGGTGGACACGTGCTCAGAGATTTTTGGGGGACTGGACATCTGCGCAGTGGAAGCACTGCATGGCAAGGACGGAAGGGATCACATCATTGAGGTGGGAGCACCCAGAGGTTGGTGAGGGTACGGAGGGAGGAGCGGGTGCAGGGGAGCACCAAGCCATACACCATGAAGCACTCCCAGGCCCAGAAAGCCCTCAATGAATGGCAAAAGGTGCCTTTTGAACTGGGATACCCTGGCAAATGGCACAACTGCTTTGTAAACCTGGACATCCTTAGTGACCAGCAAAAGGCTTGTTAAATTATACTGCTCTGTGAATTGAGCCCCGGTAGTGAATGGCAAGGCACTTAATGATCTTGAAAGTGTTCAGTTGTAAACAAAAAGGAACTGTAAAGAGTACTGATAGGAAATCATTCCGTAAACTGTCAGTCAAGTACCTTATAAATGAGGACATGCTTGGTGAACAGGAAAGTGTTCATAAAAACTATCAGAAAGGAGCTCTGTAAACGGGGGAGATCTTGTGAGTGAAACAAAGGACTCTCACAATCCTGAAGTGCTTGGTAAACAGCGACACTTCGTATGTGATAACGCAGTTTGTAAAAATTGGTGCCATTTGCAAAGCACTTCCTGAATTCGAAAAGCTTTGTGAACCGCAAAGTAAGACACCAAGTTCCTTGTGAAGAACGGAGCTCCGAGCACACTCTAACGCACGGATGGGCAAGTGTTTTCTGGAAAGGGCCAGATAGTGCCCATTTTAGGCTTTGAGGGCCATAAAGTAACTATGAGTTATAGCTGAGAAGGTTGAAGCTACTTAACTGCAAAAGCCAAACCAGTTTCGGCCACATCACCTATTTATTTATTTATTTATTTATTTATATTTTAAAAATATATTTTTTAATTGATTTTTTACAGAGAGGAAGGGAGAGAGATAGAGAGCTAGAAACGTTGATGAGAGAGAAACATCGACCAGCTGCCTCTTGCATACCCCACCGGGGATGTGCCCGCAACCAATGCACATGCCCTTAACCAGAATTGAACCCAGGACCTTTCAGTCCACAGACCGATGCTCTACCGCTGAGCCAAACCGGTTTCGGCCATAGACAAGGGATTTTTTAAAAAGGTTTGCCCTAGCTGGTTTGGCTCATGGATAGAGTGTTGGCCTGCAAACCCAAGGGTCCCGGGTTCGATCCCCAAGGACATGCACCTCAGTAGCAGGCTCCTCCCCAGCCGGGCCAGGAGGCAACCAATCGATGTGTTTCTCTCACATTGATGTCTCTGTCTTTTCCTCTCTCTCCCACTCTCCCTAAAATCAATGGGAAAATATGCTCGGTTGAGGATTTTTTTTTTTTTTTTTTAAATCTGTGGCTGTGTTCCAGAACTTTGTGGGTTTTTTTTTTTTGTTGTTTGTTTGTTTTTTTGGCATCATTTTCACTTTATGAAATCTTCTTTTGCTTTTTTCCTCCAACTGTTAGAAAAATGTAAAACCCGTCCTTAGTTCAGGGCCCCTACAAAAACCGGGTGCTGCATGGGGTAGGGCTTGGAGGCCCTCATGTGCTAGGACAGCACCCCATAAGCTGTCAGTACCTCCCTCGTAGGAGACATGCCTTCCTCACACCATAAACCGGTGTCTCTCCAGCTGAAGCTCGTCTCCTTGGCAGCCGCTGTGCCCTCTGCCAACGGAAAGCACTGAGTCATGTAGCCCTCCCATGCACTTCCTCCTCTCCTCACTGGTGTTTCCTCCCCCAGGTGGTGGGCTCCTCCATGCCGCTCATTGGCGACCACCAGGACGAAGACAAGCAGCTCATCGCAGAGCTTGTGGTCAATAAGATGGCCCAGGCCCTGCCCCGGCAGCGGGATGTCTCCCCGGGCAGGGGTTCCCACAGCCAGGTCAGCTACTGGGGGGCAGGCCAGCCCTTGCCCCTGCTGCGTCCCAGAGCTAAGCAGCAGCAGGCTAGGGGCATCTCCGTTACGCATGTGATCACAATGACCAGTTGCATTCAAAATTGATCAATAGCTGCTACCCTGAGTGCTTCCCTGCCCCCCCCCCCAACAACCTGCCTGCCCCCCTCAGCTCAGCCACAAACAGGGCAACGCCTAGCACACAGGGATCCCCTGTTCTCCTGATTGGCTGATGCTCCACCGGCTGGTGGCTATTTTTAACCTCTCCTGTTCCACTCTTCCACCGCAGACTCTGTCCCCAGGGGCCCTGCCCTTGGGCCGCCAGACCTCCCAGCAGCCCTCGGGGCCCCCGGCTCAGCAGCGACCCCCGCCACAGGGTAAGTGAGGGGCCGACTCCCTCTCCAGCAGCCGCTCCCTCTCACTTGCTGGCTCTCACATGTGAACGCTCTCTCTCTGTCGCTCAGGTGGCCCTCCGCAGCCCGGCCCGGGCCCCCAGCGCCAGGGACCTCCGTTGCAGCAGCGTCCGCCCCCCCAGGGCCAGCAGCACCTCTCAGGCCTTGGACCCCCAGCTGGCAGCCCCCTGCCCCAGCGCCTACCGAGTCCCACATCAGCGTCCCAGCAGCCTATGTCCCAGGGCCCGCCACTGACCCAGGGTCAAGGCCGCCAGTCCCGGCCAGTGGCAGGAGGACCGGGGGCACCTCCAGTAGCCCGCCCGCCTGCCTCCCCATCTCCCCAGCGCCAGGCAGGCCCCCCACAGGCTACCCGCCAGACATCCATCTCTGGTCAGGCTCCACCAAAGCCCTCTGGGGCTCCACCGGGTGGTCAGCAGCGCCAGGGCCCACCCCAGAAGCCGCCAGGCCCTACTGGCCCCACCCGCCAGGCCAGCCAGGCGGGTCCCATGCCCCGCACTGGGCCACCCACCACACAGCAACCTCGACCCAGCGGTCCAGCGGGGCCCGGGCGTCCCGCCAAGCCACAGCTGGCTCAGAAACCTAGCCAGGATGTTCCGCCACCTGCTACGGCTGCTGCCGGGGGACCCCCGCACCCCCAGCTCAAGTAAGGGGACCCCTCAGCAGCCCTTGCCTTGCTGCTCGCGAAACATGCCCCTGCACCAGGAGAGCAGCCCCGGCTCTCAGGCTCCTCAGACCCAGGTCCCATCCGGGGGTCCTGAGAGCTCTGTCCAGGCTATGCCAGACCCTGTCCCCAAACCATCACCCCTTTCAGTCCACAGAGGCTCTTGCCTTCCATTCCAGGTTCTTCTCCCTCCATCTGAGAGACTTGGTGCCAGAATCCCAGAGAAGTCCCACTTTGTTTAAAGTCTTCCCAGGATGCCCCGGGAAAGCCCCCTCCTCCAGGCCAGGCACCTGGCTGACCCTCCTTCAGTGTCTCCCTGCCCACCAAGTCCTCCTCCCATCTTGGAGCCTTCATGGCCCAACTAATCCTCCTTGACTTCTCCAAGCCCAACCTGACTCCTCCAAGCCAGTGCTCCCACCCAGTTCAGTCCTCCTATGTCACATCACCCTCTTTCCAGTTATCCCCATACTTTTCCTATAGTGTAGGCCAGCGATTTTCGACACTTGTCATCTCATGGCATACATACACTAATCATGGAAATTCTATGGCACACCAATGTGACAAAAAAAAAAAAAAAAATTGGTAGAATCTCCATTCACACCAGACAGCTATTGTGTTGCCTCTGTTGTCACTTTTTAAAAATGTGACAATCTAAGGGAAAAGAGGTTGGTCTCCTAACAACATAGTCACGTATTGCACGTTTTAAAATTCTTGTAGCACGCCAGTTGGAAATCGCTGGTCAGGCTCCTTTCTGGTCTATCCCCAAATCCTTCTGGCCCATCTCAGTCTCCTCCCAAGTCATCACACCATCCTCTGCCTCTTCTTGTTCATTCCAGATCTGCTCCCACCTTAGCTCAAAAGTCTTCACTGCCCCACCCAACTGCTCGCCCCTTAGATTTGTCCCTCCTAGCCTGTCCTTCGTATAAGCCCCCCTCCTTCCCGAACTCCTTACCCTTGGACTGGATACCTCCCTGTCCATCTTCATCTTTCTGTCAAATTCCTCCCAGACTACCCCAGATTTGAAGAGACGATTCAGTCCAAGACTCTTCCCATTAATCCCAGACTTCTTTACCTTAGATCCCAGTGCTCCTGGCCTGGACCAGGGCTCCCCAACTCCCACCTGATAACCCATAAGGGTCCAGGACCATGATGATGGTGGGGGGAGGGTCACAGGCACTGCCCCAGGACCAGAGGGACAGGGCTGGGGCTGGGGCTGGGCCTGGGGTAACATTGTGTTTCTCTCCCCCTCCTCCCTTCCTCTTCTCCCCTTCCTCCCACACCTCCTCCACCTTGTCTCTCTCTAGCAAATCCCAGTCTCTGACCAATGCCTTCAACCTTCCAGAACCAGCCCCGCCCAGGCCCAGCCTTAGCCAGGACGAGGTGAAAGCTGAGACCATCCGCAGCCTGAGGAAGTCTTTCGCCAGCCTCTTCTCCGACTGAAACCCCACCCTGAGAACCCCCAATACCCCTGGGTAACCCCTGTCTGGGCCCTGAATCCATTGCTCACTTTTGGACTCTCCAACTCCCTTGAGAAGTCCTCTCCTGGTTCACCAAGATCCTTCTTCTCACTCCTCAGAATGCCCAAGTCCCCAAGGAAACCTCACTTCTGGTCCTTAACCTATTTCTGGTGTTTGGAATTCCCAAATTCTTGGGAAGCCCATTCCTGGTCACCTCCAAATTCCTGAGGACCTTCACTCCCAAAGTATGGTTTCCTTTCCAGAAGCTCCCGAACACCAGGCAACCCATTCTGGCCTACACTACAGAGTCCCCTCCCGGAGTCCTGAAACTCCTTGACAACCACACTCCTGGCCTGAGATCTCTCAAGCACACTTAGTTCCCCACCCAGATTCCCCAAATTCTTAACAAACCCCTACCCTTGAGCTCTCTTTCATGGATCTCCATTTCTTCAAATGCCATCATCCAGTCCCATAAGGATTGCCCTTCACCTAGCCCCAACTCTACTCAATACATTGGAGCTCCTCCCACTGGTAGGACCCTCAGTTCCCCAGGGACCCCTGCCCCACTTTCCTGCCTCTGACAGCTCTCTTTAAATATGCAACTCCACCCATCCTCCCAGAATCCTTTGCACATGAAAGGCCAGTGGTCCCCCACTTCCCCACCTGTGCCGTGATGTCTGTGTCTGTGACTGACGTGGCCTCCTCTTGTGGCGTGCTTGGCATATGTGGTCCTCGTTCATCGTGCCGCCTGTGGTGATGCGTGCAGTGGCGCTGTTTGTGTGGTCTGCACCTTCCCCCAACCTCCATCCTTGCCTGGACTCTACTCCACCCCACCCCTCAGCGGCTCTGAACCCCACGAGAAGAGTCAAGAAGCAAAATAAACAAGCAAAGGCCCAGCAGAATTCTGTGCTTCTTGGTGAAGAAAGGGGGAAGTCCTTGAATGACAGGGGAGACACAGAAGGGACTCCCAATTCCACATGGGGTGCTGGGGACCCCAAAATCCAGTGGAAGGCACATCGGACACAAATTCCAGAGAGGTTTCTGAGTGGAATCCCTGCTACAAATCCCAGCCATTGTAGATAGAGGAGCTTCCCAAATTTAGAAGTATCCCCAAAGTCAAGAGAAAACCGAACTATGGATGAGGCTGTGGTCTCAGTTTTTTGGGGTCCCCCAGTTCCAGAGAAATGGGAAAACACATGGGGACCCCCTTCATCTCCCAGGGCAGAAATGGGGGATCCTGAGGCAGTATCAGGGCAGAGATGGAACATTGATTGGTTGGTGAGCAAGGCTCCTTGGTGTAGAAGGCTGAGCTTGGCTCCCTGGTGGCTGGGGGCAGGGCCTAAGGCACAAGGCGGGCTGCGCTGAGTAGGCAGGCGGGCAACTCATCAGCCTGGGTGCGATGCAAGGAGGGTTCGGAGGCACTCCGCTCAATCTTGGGGAGTGACCGCTGCAGCAGCTCAATCGTGGCCAGGATCTGGGGGCGAGATGGCATGAGGAGAGGAATCTAGTCACATGAGCACCCCACTACCACCAGACCCCAGCCTTCCCGAGAAGCATACACACACACATTGTATACCTCTGAGCATTGACCATGCATGGTTCACATTCACATCTCAGTCTTCCTCCTTCTCAGAGTCCCCTCCCCAGAGGATCCAGCCCTCCTACCCAGCCCACCTGGGGGAAGAGGGGCCGCTCCTCTCGTTGAAACTTGAGGCAATCAGACAGCAGGCGCCGCATGGCCTTGGGGCAGTTGCTGGAGATTTTGCTGAGGTCCGGGGACAGATAGCCACGGCCCACCATAAAGATAATCTGGGGGAAAGGGGGGAAGGGGAGAGGAATGACTGATCTAGGGATTTGGGCTGGAAGGCTCGGAGAATTCCAGTTCTCAATGAACTTAGAAGGCTCCTTTGGGGGAACTGGGGATTCTGGGTATTGGGGCTCTGAGGATTGTGGTATCTTGTGAATCCAAGGATTCAGGGTCTCTGAGGCCTTGTGAGGATTCTCTGCTAGCAGAACACAGGGATTTAAGCTTGAGGAAAGCCAAGTGTTTCAGGTGTCTGGGGCCCAAAGGATTATGGGTCCATAGTTTTCTAGGGGGCCTAAGGACCTGGAAAGTACTGAGTCTGGGAGAAATGCAAACTTCAGGGACTGGACGGAGCTGAAGTATTCTAGCACTCAGGAGCTTGTGTTTCGGGGTGTGTGTGTGTGGGGGGGAGAGTCTGGGGCCTGGGGACTATGGGTCCATGTGGCCTGTAGGACTGCTGGTATCTGGAGTCTAGAGGATCCTTGGTTTCTGAAGGCCTGCTTTGGATCTGGACAACTGTGAGAGGCTGGAGCCTAAAGTATTGTGGATGCCAGGGCCCCAAAATCTGCCAAACACCCAAGGCCTGAATAATTGTGGGTTTCTGTACTACAGAAGCATGGAGGAATTCTGTTTCTGGGAGAAATGAGATTCTGGGCTTTGGGGACTTGCAGGATTTTGAGTACATGAGCCAAAGGCCTGGTAGTTGTTGAGGGGTCCAAAGGGCTTCTGGGTATTGCGGGGGGGAGGGGGTTGAAGTGGTTTCTGAGCATAGGGGGTTCAGGAGTTTCTGAACTTTGAGGACCCAGAGGATGGTGGCTGTGGGGGAAGGGGATTCTGGGTAGAGGAGACCCAGAGGATTGTGGGAGTTCTAAGCCCAGAAAATGTGGCATTCTTGGTCTGTGCCAAGGAGAAGATCTGGGGTTTAGGGGCTGAGGGGACCCCTTAGCCTGGGAAATTGCAGGTAAGGCGCGGGGCTCACCTGGTCACGGCTGCCAATGTGGCTATAAGGCAAGGAGCCGGTCATGAGCTCGTAGAGCACAACCCCATAGGCGTAGACATCCGACTGAAAGCTGTAGGGGTTCGGGTCCTGCATACGGATCACCTCAGCCGCCTTCGATAGGCCAGACCAGGCAAGAGAACCATGAAGGTCAGCCAATGGCTGGCCCACAGTCCCAGATCCCGCTAGCCACAGAGCCACCCACATGAGGAGAAACGCACCCAAACAGGCATCCTTATCCCCATTCAGCTCCTCATGTCCCAGCCCTGCAGCCCATGGCCCTCCACGCTCCTGGTCCAGCCTGGCCCAACTCACCATCCACAGCACAGAGCCCGAGGGCTGCTCCAAGGGCTGAGCCCCGCTCCACCTTGTCTTCACTGTGGCCAGGCCGAAGTCACCGATCTTCACTGTGAGCCCCTCATGTAGGAAGATGTCCACCGGGGTCAAGGGCCACTACAAGGACTCTCAATATCCACACCCTCACCCTGACTGGGAGGCTCTCATTAACACCTCCAAACCAGTCATGCCTCTAACCCTGACCGGAAGTCCCCCAATGTCACACAAACCCACCACAACCTTGACTTGAGTGGGAGCTCCAATTGGTGCCCCGTACACTTGGCCCCTTGACTTCTGAACGGGAAGCCCCTCTAATGGCACCCATACCCACCATACCAGTGACCCTGATCAGGAACTCTCTGTAACTGATCAGAGTCCCCAAGAACAGCACCTGAACAAGCCACGCTCTGACTCCTGACCGGGAGACCCTACTAAAGGCTCCTCACCAGCCACAGCTCTGCCACCTGGCAAGGGCCAAGTGACACACGCCCCGCCCTATTCTGCCTCAGAAGCTCCCCTCCCCCACAAGACACAGCTTTCTAAGTCCTCACACTCCCCCCTCTCCCCCCCTCAGCTCTGACACAGGGGCAGATAGATACTGTTAGACTTGAGATCCCGGTGGATGATGTTCTTGGCATGGAGGTAGCTGTGGGGGTGGAAGTGGGTGGCAAATTGGCTGGGGGTTACCTCATCTCCCTCCCCCAGCCCCCTTCCTAGTCCCTAGTCCAGGAGGCTCACTCCATGCCCTGGGCCGTCTGCCGGGCCACGTCAATGAGCTGGACCATGTCGAAGCGTGTGTCGGCCACGTGCAGGTGGTGGTAGAGGCTGGAGCCCTCACACCACTGTGTGATGATGGCGAACCCCGGCCGAGTCATGAAGCCCATGAACAGCAAGATGTTGACATGACGTGTCTTCCTGTAAGCAGGGAGGGAAGAGAGCATTAGGAATATGCTGTTCACTGTCAGCTTCTGTCATCATTTCCACCCTGCCTTTTAGGAAGCTCAGGGCCAGACCTCGTCAGATTCAATGACTATGAGATATCTTTGCTGGGCTGATTTGGAGCTGGGGCTTACGTTCTGGGCTTCTTCATCTCAGTCTCTCAACAAAAGCAGGAGGGATGGATGACTATCTCCAAGCCTCTGCCACCCAGTAGTGTCTTAACCGTCAACACCTGCCATACTTCTGACCCTGACCATTACCTGGGCCTGTGACCATTCTACAAACAAGTGGAATGCCAACTTATGAACGTTATGCTATAGCTGAGTGATATTGACAAATGCCAGGTAAAAATATCAGTGATGTGATTATATCCTATTGATCACCACAAGAGGCTCATCAGTAAGGAAGTTGGGCTTTGGACTCAAGTGCGATCCTATGTTCCAATCCAGGCTTCCCCAGGTACTCACTGTGCAACCTCAGGAGGACACTTACTAGTAATCTGTGTCTCATTTTCCTCAAATGTGATCATTATATGAGCTACCTTATGCAGATGTTGGGAGGAGTGAGTAAATAATCTGTAAGGCACATACAACAGCATCGAAAACAAGTAAGCCCTCTGAAAATGTCACTGTCCTTGTTAATTGCTCCTAGGTACCTGGCTCTACCTCACGGGAACTCTGTCACATATGGATAGATCAGCCCTAATTTAGAAGAATTAACTGCAGTTATGGTAGCACAAGTATAAACACAGTTGACCCTTGAACAGCATAGGCTTGAACTGCACGGATCCACTTATACATGGATATTTTCCCATAAATTACCTGTACAGTTTTTGATCTGAGGCTGGGAGTCCATGGATTCTGAGGTCTGACTGTATGCACTGACCTACACCATTTTATATAAGGAATCTGAACATCTGAAGATTTTGGGATCTGTTGTGGGGTCCTAGAGCAAATCCGCATGGGGATAACGGAGTTTGGGGAGAGCCTAAAGTTCCACACCAATTTCCGACTGTGCAGCGAGGCCGGCACCCCTCACCCCCACATTGTTCAAGGGTCAACTGTCCCATCAGTGATGTTGTGCGACTTTGCCATGTCAGAGTGGGTCACAGCACATAAGCATTCTTCATGGCAGTCATATGATGGTTAAAACATGAACGTAATGCGAATGAACAGCATGCTCAAATCTCTGCTATTTCACAGAGGAAAAACTATGGTATCCATTATGAGGATAAGTATTAAAATAGCACAAGGGGTGAGAACATCAACTCCAACACAACTGTTCTCATCTGTCAGAGAGAAAGCCCATGCCGGCAAGCCTTGCAGTGGTAGTAACTAGGGTGGCAGAAAGGAACCCTCAGCACAAATGGGCTAATATAGTATTAATGACATATTAAGTAGAGCAACAACAATCATTAATTAAACAATAATTAAATTACGGTTATGATTATAGTTAATACTGTTGACCTGTGAGCAACACATGGGTTAGGGGCACTGATCCCCCATGCAGTTGAAAATCCACGTATAATTTTCAACTCCCCAAAACTTAACTACTAATAGCCTACTGTTGACTAGAAGTCTTACGGATAACATAAAATTGATTGACAAATATTTTGCATGATATATACTATATTCTTACAATAAAATAAGCTAGAGGAAAGAAACTGTTATTAAGAAACTATGAGGAAGAGAGAACACATTTACAGTATGGTTGAAAAAAGGTCTACGTATAAGTGGACCTGTGTTGTGCAAGGGTCAACTGTAATGTTATTCTTTAAGTAATGGCATTATCATAATAAATTAATGGCAAGAATGCAACACAATAAGCGTAATACTAACGACACAGTACAAGCAGACGAGAAAGGATGCAAGCCTTCCTGGCAATGCAGTTAACTAGCATTATGTTATTCACGTAAGCGCACTCAATGGTGTTAATGATGTCCTATGGCAGGGGTGGGGAATGTCCAGCCCGCGGGCCATATAAGGCCAGTAAAATCATTTGGCCTGGCCCTGCCAAGGCCTTTAGGGGTGAGTTCATCATATGTCTGGCCAAATTTAGCAGGCTAATTGTCAAGGTGATAATTTTGTATGGTTCTCGAATGATGTTATCAATATCCAAATGGCCCTTGGCAGGAAAAAGGTTCCCCACCCCTGCACATTCCACAGCAGGCAAACAAGACCCACGTTTTGGAGCCAGAGCTGTTAATTAATGTCAGTATTAACCCAAACACAAACAGTCACATCATCAGAGGTCCTCCAGACATACCTGTTTCCCAGAGGGGAGAGGGACACTCTTGACACAACTTAACATTTATGGTTGCAACGACACAAACACAGGTGATGTGCAGAAGCGCCCGGGCATGGCCTTTCCCTGGAGGCGCCAAGGCCATGCCCACTGCCCTCTCCCCGCTTCCACACGCACGTGCAATCTCACCTGAGCACCTGCATCTCGTTCTTGAAGGCCTGCGCCTGCTCAGCTGTGGGTTGGGCCACCTTGAGCACCTTCACAGCCACATCGCCATGCCACCGCCCGCGAAACACGGTGCCAAACGAGCCCGTCCCGATCCTCTTCAGCAGCTGCACCTCACTGGGTGGCACCTCCCAGTAATAGCCCGAGTCCCGGTACCCCAGATTCTTCTGTGGGCCACATGGGCGGCATCTCAGGGGCCTGCCCACATCCCTTATCGCTCAGCCTGTGGTGCCCCCCACAGGTTGCCCCCTGGAGCTTACCACTTTCTTCTTGTCATCGCCCACGGACTTCCTTTCCCGCTGTTCTGATGGGGACTTGGAATGTGGGGACTTCCTCCCCGAGGGCACACTAGCCGGGCTGGGGCTCCCCCGGGGCACTCCATCATTGCCACCTCTACTACCAGCAGCTGTGGATGTGAAGAGGCTGTGAGTGGAGGCAGGTAGGGCACAGGGGGAGCTCAGGGCACAGGTAGCGGGGGCTCACCATCGGCGTTGAAACTCTGGGCAGCGAGCTGGAAAAAGGGGGACAGCGGTCAGAGAGAGGAATGGCCCCCCCTCTGCCTTGTGATTCCCCATGACTGCCCCCTCGGCACCAACCTGGAAGAGACTGGAGTCCAGGGGGGTGGTGGTGCTGACCATATGGACATTGGGAGTAGACGTGGAGCGGATGCGCTGCAGGGGGGCGTTGGCCGTGGCAGGAAAGGGGAAGTGCTCAGGGTCTCGGTGCTGGGAGCTGGAGCTGCCAGAGGAGAGACTGTGAAATCACTGTCCAATGAATGGGAGGACCAGTCAAGCGGCCCCCACTCCCACCCCATCATAAACATGTGCTTAGCTCACACAGAGCAAACATTCACTGTGAGTACTATTACTCATTTGTTCAAGAAACACTTATTGGTACCTGCTGTATGCCAGAAACCATGCTAGGTATTGAAAAAAAAACTGTGGGCAAAACAAAAGTTTTTACCCTCACGGGGCTGATGTTCCAGTAGGGAAAAGAAGAAATAAGAAAAACAACAACAAAGAATAGTTAATCTGTCTGATGGTGATAGGTACAATAAAGGAAAAAATAAAGCAAAATAAGGAGACAGAAAGTGTCACTGGTGAAGTCAGGAAGGGCTTCTCTAAGGAGGTGACATCTGAGGAAAGACTTAAAGAAGGGACAATGAGCCACACTGATAGCACACTGACCACAGGGAATAGCTCCTGTGTTGAGCATCTGCCCCCTGGTGGTCAGGGCACATCATAGCGACTGGTCATTCCACCATTTGGTTGATTTGCATATTATGCTTTTATTATATAGGATATGCTATTTGTACATGTTATACATGTATGATATATACACACATGGAGTGGCCAGATTATGATGATCTCTGAACGCATAATAATCTGGCCACTCAGTGTATATCCTATATAATAAAAGGCTAATATGCAAAGTGGCTCCTCAACCAGGAATTCGATCAGCAAGCAGGCCAGCCAACCGCCCATGTCCCCTCCCCCTGGCCAGGCTGGCCAGACCCCACCCATGCATGAATTCATGCACTAGGCCTCCAATATATATATATACACACATACATACACACACACACTGAGTAGCCAGATTATGCATATGATGTGTATATATAATATTACAAAAAGAATTTTTTTTTGTGTGTTAATCTTCAGCCGAGGATACTTTTCCATGGATTCTTAGAAAGAGTGGGTGGGAGAGGGAGGGACAGAGAGAAACTTCAATGTGAGAGACACATATATTGGTTGCCTCCTGCATGATGAAGTCTGCAACAAAGGTATGTGCCCTTGACCAGAATCAAACCCAGGAACCTCCAGTCCATGGTCTGATGCTCTATCCACTAAGCCAAATCAGCTAGGGCAAAAAAGAATTTCTTTTTTAAAAATATGTATTTTTATTGATTTCAGAGAGGAAGGGAGAAGAAGAGATAGGAACAACAATGATGAGAGAATCATTAATTGGCTGCCTCCTGCACACCCCACACTGGGGATGGAGCCCACAACCAGGCATGTGCCCTTGACTGGAATCGAACCTGGAACCCTTCAGCCCACAGGCTGACGTTCTATCCACTGAGACAAACCAGCTAAGGTCACAAAAGTATTTCTTAATGTTCCCTTCCACTATCTTAAAATGAAATTCATCCCATAATTAAAAATAACATAATGCCCTAACTTTATTATTTTATATATTACATGAAAATATATGTTCTACAGCCCTAACCGATTTAGCTCAGTGGCTAGAGTGTCGGCCTGCGGACTGAAGTGTCCCAGGTTCGATTCCAGTCAAGGGCATGTACCTTGGTTGCAGGCACATCCCCAGTAGGGGGTGTATAGGAGGCAGCTGATTGATGTTTCTCTCTCATCGATGTTTCTTTCTTTTTTTTATTTATTGAATTTTTTACAGAGAGAAATGGAGAGGAATAGAGTGTTAGGAACATCGATGAGAGAGAAGCATCGATCAGCTGCCTCCTGCACACACCCTACTGGGCATGTGCCTGCAACCAAGGTACATGCCCTTGACCGAAATCAAACCTGGGACCCTTCAGTCCCCAGGCTGACGCTTTATCAAGTGAGGCAAACCAGCTAGGGTCGATGTTTCTAACTCTATTTCTCTTCCTTCCTCTCTGTAAAAAAAAATCAATAATATATATATATTTTTTAAAAAGAAATTGATCTACTTTTTAAAAAATCTTTTTAAAAAATACGTTCTACATTATTTATAAATCTAACCCATGATACATTAACATATACCATATAAGTATAGGTGTTATAAGATATATGAGACATATAAGTGCATATTTTATAAACTTTTGATATATTAGAGCATAATGTATTTTTGATATGGAAATACTTAACATAAAGGAGAAATAAAAGGGAATTTATAATAAAATAGCATGTATTTCAAAATGGAAATGTTTGAGCATAAACATACTCTTTTACAATGAGTAAGAACTTATGCCCTGTACTGCACCTTCTTCCAAGCAAGATTTTATTAAGACACATATTAATTCATTTAACTCTCACCAGAACAATATGTGGTAAAAAGTATCATTATCCCCTCTTTACAGATGAGCAATCTGAGGCCCAGAAACATTGTGTGGTTTACTCAAGGTCCCAGAGCTTGACACCCTTACCAACACTTGTAGGTGCTCAGCAAATGCTTGTCAAGTCAATGGAAAAATGGCTTGTGGTTGGCATCCTCTCTCTCTCTCTCTCCCTCTCTCCCTCTCTCTCTCTCTCCCTCTCTCTCTCTCTCTCTCCCTCTCTCTCCCTCTCTCTCTCTCTCTCTCTCTCTCTCTCTCTCTCTCTCTCTCTCTCTCTCCCCTAAGCTCCAAGAGCCCTTCTATTGCCTTTATAACTTTGTGTCCTGAGCCCCCACAGCCCAGATGGCTCACTTTTTCTACCTCTGTGACTTTCTTTTCTTAATCCTCACCCAGGAAGAAGGGGGAGAGAGAGAGGATATTGATGTGAGAAACATCGATCATTTGCCTTCCATACATGCCCTGACCAAGGATTGAACCCGCAACCCAGGTATGTGCCCTGACCAGGAACTGAACTGGCAACCTTTTGGTGCACGGGATGATGCTCCAACCAGCTAAGCTAGCCAGGCAGGCTCTGTGACTTTCCAAATGAACTTTCACTTGTATTTGAAAAAACAAAATGGCTTATGGTCTCCAGATCTTTTTATTCAGACGCAGCCCTTCGGCTTAGGCATCCCTACCTGGAACCCTGAGGGGTGAGCGGCTCATTCAAAGGCCGGTTGGAAGGAGCCTCATGCTGTCTGTAGCCTCCGGACAAATCCTGGATACTGTGGTAGTACCTTAAAGGCATTGGGGTATAGAGCAAGGGGATAAGGGTCAGCCATCTAGAAGACTCTAGTGTCTGTGCATCTGTCCTCCCCACCCCACCCCCGACCCACCCCAGGCCAGGCTCACTGTCGGCAGTTGGTACTCATGTCAACACAGACTGTGGGGACCTTAGAGGAACAATGCTGGTGGAACTTGTAGCCACAGGTTTGGCAGCGGAAGCCATGGAACAGAAACTTCAGACAGAAGTCACAGAAGGCCAGGCTGAAGAACGTCTTCCGTACCTGTGGCCGCAGAGCAGGGGAGGCTGAGGCCTGGTCAAGGACCACCTCCCTCACACCGATGGTCCGCCCCCACTATCCACCCTGCACTCACGAAATTGTGCATAGTCAGTGGAACGTCTTCAAGGACCTCAACAATGAGCTCCTCGCCATCCAGGGGGGCAATGGCTGTGTCCCAGGCAGTGACTGTCTTTCGCCTGCAGGGGGCAAGGAAGAGAGTGAGTAGGAGGATGGACAGAGGCCCTGGGGAGGCAAAGAACCCCCGCAAGTCCCCCAAGTCGGCTATCCGTGGAGCAATACCTGACATGTTCCATTCTTATCACAGCAACTCTGGGAACTAGTTACTCTCATTGCCCCATTTTACAGATGGGGAAGCTGAGGCTCAGAGGGAGACGGTGGCTTACTTGCCTAACGCCTCAGGGATTGTGAGTGGCAGGACAGTGTGAAGAGTCCTTGCCCTCACCCACAAGGTGATGAGCAAATGAGATGGTGAGTAAACAGCTAAGTTTCCGAAGTGCATTGAAGTGACAAATAAAAAGCAATGTGTAGCCCTAGCTGGTTTGGCTCAGTGGATAGAGCATTGGCCTGCGGACTGAAGGGTCCCAGCTTCGATTCTGGTCAAGGGCAAATGCCTGAGCTGTGAGCTCGATCCCCAGTAGGGGGTGTGTTGGAGGCAGCCGATCAATGATTCTCTCTCATCATTGATATTTCTCTCTCTCTCTCTCTCTCTCTCTCTCTCTCTCTCTCTCTCTCTCTCTCTCTCTCTCTCTCTCTCTCCCTCTCTCCCTCTCTCCCTCTCTCCCTCTGCCTTCATCTCTGAAATCAATAAAGAAATATATATATATATATTTTTTTTTTTTTAAAGCAACGTGTGAATTGAATAAAAAATTAAGAAACCCCCGAACAAAGGAATAAGTAGAAGGCCAGCAAGGCCCAACTCAGCAGACAGAGTGGGAAAGCAGAGGTAGGAGAGGGCAGACAAATGGATGAAATAGTGAAAGAACAAAATAAATGAACAAAACAGACGGAGCAGGTGAAGACTTGGGGACCAAGCAGAGAGTGTGCCGCTGACCTTACAGGCCAATGAACTAAGGAAGTGATGAAACAAAAGCTGGTTGGACTCACGGATTCACTGAACGAAGGGAAGACTAATGGAGACGCCACAACAGAGAGAAGAAGGAATCCGATGACTCTGAGGAGGGGATAGGAGACTGGGCACCCAGAGGGCGGGGTGTGTGTTTGCCACACCTACCCTTTGATGAGCCGGTAGACCACGCAGCAATCCTGATTGAGACCCCGCACCTTGAGAGCCTTGTCTAGAGAGTCGTAGACACTCATGCCATCCCGGACAGTCACCTGTGTATAGGGGGGGGTAGGGGGGAGTGGGTTAGAGTCCTACTGGGATCCCAGCCAACTCTCCTATCCCTTGGCAAAACCTTCCATCCAGCCCTAGCTTCCCTCCTGATCCAAGATTTACAACTGGGTCCATCTGCTCCCATCAGACTCACCACTGTGCGTTGCTTGTTGGGCAGGTACACCTTGACAGTGCCCACTGCCCGGGACGGCTCAGCCCCGTTGGCGGGGGGGCCCCGTGGTGGCTCCATGGAGCCTAGGACTTCGTCAAGATGGGCTGAGGCAGGGCGGGGCAGGTGCCATGGGGCTCCTAGAAGACAGAGAGAAAATTCAGTGGTCCAATAAAGAGTCTGGAATCACAGTGGCGGGAGACACAAAATGTCCATCTCCAGACTCCACATCACCCCCAGTAGCCTCATTTCCATAGAGCTGTCCAAGGGAACTTAGTGACACCTTGAAGTCGGTCCAGTTCCTTCTCTGCTCAGCTCTGCCAAGGTCTCTGCATGGGGCCAGGTGGGGTATGCTAACACAAAGAAAGACGGCACACACTGTCCTGGAGGGCACAGGGGTACACAATCTGCTGCAGGCTAATGGGGGAGGCAGCACACTGCACTGGGGTGTGCCAGATCCATAATGGACATGAACTGGCTGTCCTGCCTTTTATGAAAGTATTTTCTATTGATTCCGAAGAGGAAGGAAGAGGGAGAGGGAGATAGCAACATCCATAATGAGAGAGAATCACAATCAGCTGCCTCCTGCATGCCCCCTACTGCGTATCAACAACCTGTGCATGTGCCCTGATGGGAATTGAACTGTGACCTCCTGGTTCATAGGTCAACGCTCAATCACTGAACCACACGGGCTGGACTGTCCTGCCTTTTTAATGGAGAAGGGGGTTACCAGCTCCTGTGCTGAAGGAAAAGTCACACAGGGGGAAGGGGAACAAACGGGAGATGCTCAGATGTTGCTCCTACTTTGGGAAAGTGGGGATTGCACCAGAGTGTTCTGAAGGGTCCGGTGGCCATCCCTAAGCCCTGGGCAGGAAGGATGGTAGGTTCCCAGACTGTGACCGGAAGTAGAGGATCACAGACAACTGTGTTGAAGTTGCTAACAAAGGTCACTAGAGACTCGAATGGGGAGAAGGGTGGACAATGTCATCAGCAGACACTGTAAGCTGGGTACTGGTACACCACCAGTCATTGCTGAGGTGGGGTGAATGGGGATAAAGCAGGGAGACTCCAAAAGGATCCCTGTTGGCCCTGGCGGGTTGGCTCGGTGCATAGAGCATCAGCCTGGACTGTTGGGTCCCAGGTTCCATTCCAGTCGGGGGCACATGCCCTGGTTGCGGGCTTGATCCCCAGTAGGGGGCGTGCAGGAGGCAGGCGATCAGTGATTCTCTCTCCTCATCGATGTTTCAATTTCTCTCTCCCTGTCTAAAAATCAATAAAACAAGCAAACAGACAGACAGACAAAAACCAAAAGGATCCCTGTCCACTAACGAACGGGTCACAGACATACTAGTATTTCTGGTGACAGCGGAAGGAAGCTGGGGTGGCTGAAGGAGGAATAAGGGGAGAATCCTCACACATTCTCCTGGTGGGTGAGACGCTGATCCAGGACCATAAAGCGAATAGCAAAGTGAGTCTCCACTCCCTCCCCGTCGTTGGTAAGGAAGGGTCATCAGAGACCTTAGGGAGCTTTCGAGGGGATCCCGGTGCCACCACCGCCCGAGACCCATTGGGCACGGCCCCGCCCACCGCGGGCCTCCCACTCCGCGCAGGCGTGCTACCACCCTCAGCGGGCACAACCACCCCCCGCAGCCCGGCCCCCAGACTCCTGTCCACCCGCCGCTACCCCGGCTACCGGCGATGGGCTCCCTGGGTCAAACCGCTCCGCGGTTCCGGGCGGGGGGCGTCGGGGCCCAGGCGCAGTCACCCCGGAGCTAGGCTTTGGGGCCCGGCTCCCTGTCCAAGGCCGGCGATCGCTCCAGAAACCCAACCCTGCCGGCCCGCCCTCACCTGTCAGGCCGCAGCGGCCGCCGCCGCCTCCATCTTGAGGCTGTCTTCTCGTTTCCTCGGGGAGTCCGCCCCCGCCGCCCCTCGGGCTGTCCCCATTGGCGCCGCGGCACTCGGCTCTCTACTCTGATTGGCTGAGGGTCACGCCTGTCAAGGCAGGGCCGGCGGAATGGGGATCGGGTTCCGGATTAGGAGAGGCCTGTGCAAACGTCGGGGTCCGGGGCAGATTGGCAAGGCCTGGTGTGCGCAGGCGCGATCAGGAGGAACCCTGCGCGCCCCGGGCCTTAACTCCCAATGTGCCAAGGCAGAATGAGGCGGGCCAAGGGTTTGGTCACGTTAGGTGACTTTTAAAGTGTCCCGAAGCTTTAAGTGCCCCCTTGGCTCCAGTGACCTGGAACCCTAAGTAGCCGCCAGCTGGGATTTTCCTGGGCCTCAGTTTTACCGTCTTTGAAATGGGTGGGAAACACATCAACTATCTGCGACCTTTTCCGATTCTGAGAGTAAAGGCCTTTGAGAAGAGCCATTCTCTAGTCGGGCCGGGGGTCTGGCCCCAGGAGGAGCAGCCTGCCGTTCTGACAGCTTCCGTTAGGAACGGAGTTTATAAGGGTTTTGAAAGCCTGGTCCTAGTTGGCCAGGTGAAGAGGGGGCGGGGGGCGTGGGGGCATGGAATGGGGCACCAGGGCAGCGAAATGTGTGGAGGAATTGACGGGTAAATCCAGTTTCTTTCAAATGACTTTCACCTGGTGTCAAAAGTGAAAGAGAATTTCCACCTTCCCTTTCTCAGAGCGCTTCCTTAAAGCGCGCGCGTGCGCGCGCGCGCACACACACACACACACACACACACACACACACACACACGAAATTTGTAAAATTTGTTCTGTCCCTTTGAGATGTATGTAAATCTCTTCCAAAGCTAGCTAGGCCTCCTGACAGTTTTATGGCCCAAGGATGTTGTTCTTACCAGTGAGGGCCTTGGAGACAAAGCTTTGAAATGTAAACATCAGGGAGATAGCGTCCCTATCTCTAATGAGAGGGCAGGGCGGGGTGAGGGGGCAGGCGGGGCGAGAGGGCAGGTGGGGTGAGAGGGCAGGGTGGGGCGGGTCCAGCTCCAGGTAACTGGACCCTAGGCCTAACCCAACCAATCAGGTCAGCCAAGGTAGCAGCACCACCCTCCCTATAAAACCCATTGAGATGTTAAGTTCTTCCTCTTTCTCGCCCATGCCCTCGTTGGTGTAGGTGAGACTGGGCTCGGACTAGTCCGAAATAAATACAGGCTTTGTGCAATTGCATCGGATTCGGCTCCCTGGTAGTCTTTGGGGTTTATGACACTTGGGCATAACAGATGGGGGTCTCAGTAGGAGTTAGATCTAGGCTGACGGCTCCGGGTAGCTGCTGTCAAAGACTGGGGTTCTATTTTTCCTTCAGAGAAGGACAGGTGGCTACCCCAATTGTCCTGGGAATTTGAGGCGAACTATGTGTAGCAAATGGTGCTGTAAAGTTCTCTTATTGAGGACAAGTTGCTGTCTTTCTTTTCTTTGAAAAAGTTTTAAAATATATTTTATTGATTTTTACAGACAGGAGGGGAGCGGGATAGAGAGTTTGAAACATCGATGAGAGAAAAACATCCATCAGTTGTACATGCCCTTGACCGGAATCCAACCTGGAACCTGTCAGTCCGCAGACTGACGCTCTATCCACGGAGTCAAATCGGTTAGAGCCATGATTGGCAAACTGTGGCTCATGAGCCACATGCGGCTCTTTGGCCCCTTGAGTGTGGCTCTTCCACAACATACCACCTGGTATTTGGCCTGGGCAAGTTAGGAGAAGTTTAAGTTTAAAAAATGTGGCTCTCAAAAGAAAGTTCAATCGTCGTACTGTTGATATTTGGCTCTGTTGACTAATGAGTTTGCCTTGACAACATACATGTAATGGGTTGTATCTCTCTAGCTGTATAAAAGGTGAGGGATTTTTGTTTGCTTGCTTGCTTTTTGTCTTCTGCAAACTCTTTAGCAAATTGCTTGTGATGTGCATCTCAGTCTGGTCTAACGTTTTCAATAAAAAAGCTATGTCATTCCTTTCTACCTCTGTAGAGAGGATTTCCCGAGTCGGCACAAGATTTTCATTCTTTCCCCAAAAGCATGAACAGCCTCTTGTATGTGAAGTGCCTACAGTCTCATGTCTGGAGCCACAGCATCCCTCTTGGAAGTGGGAAGGATCAGAGAAAAGTTACTAGCTGAGGGGACTCAGCATGCTTCAGCTTGTATTTATAAAAAGCTTTCTCTACCTGTAAGGAAGGAAAGACAAAAGTTCTGCTTACTGGGCTGTCATACAACCTCCATGTTCCATGGCCCCTTGTCTGTTCTATCTGCACCACTCCATGGCTAAAATTAAAAAGACTGGCAATAAATAGCACAAAATGATGAGAATGCGAAGCAACTGTTAACCTAAAACGAAAAGGTCACAACGAGAGGCAACAAGCATTTTTTGAGATCCAAAGAATAATAGCTATTTAGAAAGTAATGATTCAAGCAGAAACTCAAATAGTGTTCAGATTGGGAGGTAAGGCAAGGGGTATTTATGAGAAAGGGAGGAAGGACAATTATCTTAATAAAAAGAAGGCATTTTTACAAATGCAAATAAGCTAACAGCGTGATGCTAATTCTAAAGAATGTTTTTTTAAAATATAAGGTAATATATTGACATAAGAGTAGGGAAGGGTTTCTTTATTATTATTTTTTAATTCTCACCACCCAACTGAGGTACGTGACTGGAATCAAACCCAGGACCTTTCAGACCACAGCCAAACCAGCAAGGGCTAAGGAATGTTTTTAATTGTCAATCCATTAGTCTTTTTTAAAAAATATATTTTATTGATTTCTTACAGAGAGGAAAGGAAAGGGATAGTTAGAAACATCGATGAGAGAGAATTATCGATCAGCTGCCTCTTGCACACCCCCTACTGGGGATGTGCCCGCAACCCAGGTACATGCCCTTGACTGGAATCGAACCCAGGACCTTTCAGTCCACAGGCTGACGCTCTAACCAGTGAGCCAAACCGGTTTCGGCCAATCCATTAGTCTTAAATCTGCTTTCTTGTTATCTTTGCAAATAGTTGTTTGAGAGACAATGCTGCTTTAGGTCTAGTCCAAAGTTTATTTTGCCCATTTTACACATTCCAAAGGTTTGAGGAATAAGACATGGAGGGCAGTTCCTCAGGGTTGGCAGCTCTGACTCCC